AACAAACTGAATGCAATTATAGATTACGCGGAAGAGAAAAAGATAGATATACTGGGGTTAGAAGAAACAAATATTAGCAGCAAAGAGGGCTTTTTCGCAACAAAGAACAATAATTCATATGTTAGTATATGGACAGACTCTGATGAAAATAAGAAGAAAGGGTCTGGACTCGGGGTTCTAATCAAGAAAAGATGAGAGCGCCACATTACATCTCAGATCAAAGACAATCTATACTTTTTAAACCTGGTATTAGATTTTAGAAGTATTACAATTAATATCATATACATATACGTAGCTCCAAATGACAAAGCAGTGTAAGAAGAAATATTACAAAGGCTTAAATATAGTATATGCCAACATAAAAGAAAGCCACAACGTTATAGTAGTACTAGGCGATCTGAATATAAGTACAAAAGTACTTACAAATAATGACTCCATAAGCACAAGCACAAAATATAAAACAAATCTCAAGAGGAGAATAATACAAGTGCTAGAGAAAAGAAAGCTCTTTGACGTACAAGAATCTTTACAGATGCCAACATGGTCAAACAGAAGTACAGAAACTCGAATTGATTATATATGGGTCTCGAACTAGTAGAGATGCAATATAGTCAGCACCAAAGTAAATAATATGTCAATTTGCACCGGGAGTGATCACAAGCTTATATGAGCAAGCATTCTTACTGGTCTAGAGATGAGAAATGCAAAACCTGCAAACCAAAAATGTTTATACAGAAAAAGAGTAAATATTGATATAAACGAGGCTTTCAAAGAAGAGTGAGAGGACTTCCAAAAAGTGCTTGCCAAAAAATTAAAAGACTCATGGTTCAAACACAAACCCAAAAACCTTGACAAGGAGTGGGATATTATAGAAAGCTGCATGAGAACAGCAGCAAACAAAAGTTTTTCAAAAAGGAAAAAAACTCCTGAGATCTAGCAGATTAGCAAGGAGGACAAAGAAATACGTGTACTGAGACTAGCAATTAAGGCGTGTATTAAAGATTACCACAAGAGTAAAAAAGACATGTTAAGCACAGAGGAAAAGAAGATAGTTCTGGAACAAATTAGATCAATTATAGAAACAGGTTTAACAGACAAGCCAGACATTGTAAATATAGAAAATCTTAGAAGCTGGGCCAAAGTTATACACAAAGAGTAGAGACAAAAAATTAAAAAAGCAGAGAAAATAGTGGTAAGAAACTGTATAGAGGAAAGACATAGCCTAATTGTGTCTAATCAGAGCAGAAATGCTAAATAGTCTTTTAGACCATCTAAGCAGGAAAATAAAAATAGACAGAGTAGTTAAGGATATTGAAAGGGAACCTGAACTAATTTATGAGCCGACTGAGATCTTAGAAGAGGTTAGAGATTACTTTGCGAAGCAATTCTGCAAGAGAAATATATTAAACCCAAATGAGCTACCTCCGAAGTGGAAAAAGCAATATATCCCAAGGGAGAATATAGATGAGACCTGGTTTGCAGATACCACAAGCGAGGTTAGCGAAGTAAAATAGGACATAGCTTTAGCACAAGCAAAAGCCAAGTCAGCCCTAGGTATATCTGGTATTACCTACCCTCTAATCAAAAGAGTGGGAGGACATGCAAACTCTGTGTTTCGCAAGTTTGCCGCAAAGTATATTAAAAATGGTACAATGCCGAAAAAATAGAAGCTTGGAATTTTATATCCAATACCGAAAACAGAAGAATGGTGCTATAATCTGAACAATGTGCACCCAATCTTGTTATTGGAGTCCTTCCGTAAAACGGTAATAAGAATCGTAACGAACAAGTTAGCTAAAGTAATAGGAGAAAAAAAGATTTTAAAAGGCAGAAACTTTGCTGGTGTTACTATCGGTTTGGGAGAGCATCAGGATATTAGATGCCAGTTTGGTTCAGGATAGTAAACCAACTATGGATCTATATGGTCAAGAGGCATTACTTGAAGTGTGAGAAATTCCAATATAGGGGTACCGGGTTAGCGAGTATCGTTGCCGATATGAGATGGGCGGTTTCTATTTAAGGATGGATGGGGATCTGCGTGTCGAAATTTAAGGAAAGTAGATTAGAAAATTTGATGTACGTTCAAATAAATTAATCCCGATTGTCAATTATTGACAATCCAAAAAGGGATTGATTTAAGGCATGTTGGGGTATCAATGAGTTCTAAGAATAATGTATAGGAACGTGAAGATGTATTCACATCTTATAACAACTGTATTGTGAAGATGTATTCACACGAATAGATAATAAAATCAAAAGAACTAACAATATATAAATATTGTAAGAACAAACACACATTAAGATAGCTTAATGCTAACAAGAAGTGTAGCACTTCTAATACACGATTTATAATTTAGATGGCTTTAAACAGCCGTGGGGTTAATTATAAAAGACAAAGGAAATTATTGAGATCGAAGTCTGAAGATTTTATTGAAGGCTGAAAACTCAGTCTTTAAATACATTTTTGTCTTTATATAAATTCTTTAAACTACTCTATTGACGGACTATCTTATTCCCGTCTCCTCAATTTAATTTATAATTCAAATTTCTTCCAATTTCTTCCAACACCAATAAATCATCTCCACGGATTCACAAAAGTATTGTAATAACCAAATGCTTTATGTTCATCTTTTTGATAAACCAAAATGGGGCATGTGTAATTCAGACAACTTGGCACCCATGTTTAAATACTTCATGTTCATCTTTAGATAAACGTAAACATCATATGCGTGAATCATACGATTCAGACGCTTTATTTACAATTGGACACGATAACTTTCTTGATTAAGGAATTCATGCGTTGACCTATTGGTGTTTTCACGAAACCGTTGGACCAAGTTTTGGTAATATCTTTTTCTGTATGGGGCTGTGGAACATCAGTTCATATCGGGTCAGTTAAACAATTGATGTTGATCGTATTAGCAATTTTGTACTACTGTAAACTTCTAAACTAAATATAGTAATAATCGATAAATACATATAGAAAATACAAATAAGGAAATGAGATAACTAATGTATAGAATTAAGAAATAAAGTATAAATTGGTAGCACCAAGGCCAAACCGAAAAAGGAAAAAAAAAAAATTAGTTAGGTGACAGGAGTAACAGACTCCCTTTCTGAATTTCTGAGCTCCTGTGAGGGACAATCTGGCTCTGAATCACTTTCAGGCTGATCAAAGTACCGTTTTAGATAATTTCCATGGTCCTTCTGTTTGACAACTTTGTTATCAAGAGTCCTTAGTTTGTAAATGCTTTTTCCAAGAATGTTATGGATGTAAAAGGGGCTTTCCCACCTTTCCTCTAGCTTTTCCTTGTGAGTTCCCTCAAGATTTGAGCGGAATCAAAGGACCTTATCCTCGATTAAATAACTCTCTATTAAATATTATCAGTTATGACGATCTTTTTGTCTTTGTTGGGCCCTAGTGGTCCTTTCTCGTGCTTCCATCTGTGCTTTGGATAAATCTCCTAATAGCACTTCAATTCTTCTCATTATATTATTCAAGAGGTCTTGATCATCAGCTGGGAGAATTTTTGGGGCTAACATACTGACCTTGTCTGGTAGGACGATGTCTCTTCCATACAAAAGGTAAAAAGGCTCGTATCGAGTAATAGAATGTTTGGTGGTCCTATATACAAAAAGTCTGGAGATAAATATCGATCTCAATTGCCGGAAAACTGAATTGAGCATTTAGCTAAGACTTCACAGAGGGTGTAGTTGAAACATTCCACCAATCCATTAGTTTGTGGATAGTAGCTTGTCGAAAATCGGTGATGTACTTGTAGTTGTTTACAAATAGCTTCGACTAGATGATTGTCGAAGTGTTTTCCTTGGTCTGAAAGAAGCTCCCGAGGACTTCCGTGGCAGCAAATAATCTCTTTTATTAGGAACAAGACACTGATAAGGCTGAAGCATCTGATAAGGCACATGCTTTCAGCCGAGTGAGGTATTCCGTGGCAACTACAATATACTTATTGCCAGACTTAGTGGGAGTTAAAGGACCAATAATGTCAATCCCAACTCAGCCAAAAGATTGTCCCAACTTGATAGGGTGCAATGGTTCTCTAGATTTAGGTCTACCTCTATGTTGATATATGTCACATGATTGTACATATTGTCTAACGTCATTGCCCATTTGGGGCCAGAAATATCGGATGGAGATTTTATATAGAGTTAAAAGGACATTAAAATGTCCTGACAAAAGATCAGAGTGCATGCTAAAAAGGATAGGTTTAATTTCATAGGGTAACAAGACTCTAGAGAGTTTATGTGGCGGTAATCGATGTTTATTATATAGTATTTTGTCAAGGACAACAAAGTGTCGAGTACGTTGTCTTAGTAGTCTCTGTTGTTTAGTGGTTAATGCTGTTTGATAATTAGGTTCACTGAGAAATTTAACGTAGGTTTGGTATTCACAAGTTGAAATCAAAAATATCTTCCCTGTATCTTCAAATAATCGGCCTAGGTGATAGCACGATGATATAGTGATGGCTATGAACCGATATGATAGTGTATAAAAAAGCCGATATGCGGAAGATTAGGGTAAATTATAATGCATATATGGAAATTAACATTTGCATATCGTTAAGATGATTTGTTTATCATATAAAAGAGTAGGGCGAAAAAGAGAGTTCTGGTCTATCTTTATATAACATATTGTTAAAAACCGCTTTAATCATCATCCTGCTATATTTTATAGCACTTTTATATACTTTAGCTTGGTGTAAA